GAGGACGGCTGGGCACTGAGCCCGCCCAGTGATATGTAGAGGAGGACGGCTGGGCACTGAGCCCGCACAGTGATATATAGAGGAGGACGGCTGGGCACTGAGCCCGCGCAGTGATATATAGAGGAGGACGGCTGGGCACTGAGCCCGCACAGTGATATATAGAGGAGGATGGCTGTGGGCACTGAGCCCGCACAGTGATATGTAGATAAAGACGCCTGGGCACTGAGCCCGCACAGTGATACGTAGAGGAGGACAGCTGGGCACTGAGCCCGCACAGTGATATGTAGAGGAGGACGGCTGGGCACTGAGCCCGCACAGTGATATATAGAGGAGGACGGCTGGGCACTGAGCCTGCACAGTGATATGTAGAGGACGGCTGGGCACTGAGCCCGCACAGTGATACGTAGAGGAGGACAGCTGGGCACTGAGCCCGCACAGTGATATATAGAGGACGGCTGGGCACTGAGCCCGCACAGTGATATATAGAGGAGGACGGCTGGGCACTGAGCCCGCACAGTGATATATAGAGGAGGACGGCTGGGCACTGAGCCCGCACAGTGATATATAGAGGAGGACGGCTGGGCACTGAGCCCGCACAGTGATATATAGAGGAGGACGGCTGGGCACTGAGCCCGCACAGTGATATGTAGAGGACAGCTGGGCACTTAGCCCGCACAGTGATATGTAGAGGACAGCTGGGCACTGAGCCCGCACAGTGATATGTAGAGGAGGACAGCTGGGCACTGAGCCCGCACAGTGATATGTAGAGGATAGCTGGGCACTGAGCCCGCACAGTGATATGTAGAGGAGGACGGCTGGGCACTGAGCCCGCACAGTGATATGTAGAGGAGGACGGCTGGGCACTGAGCCCACACAGTGATATGTAGAGGAGGACGGCTGGGCACTGAGCCCGCACAGTGATATGTAGAGGACAGCTGGGCACTGAGCCCGCACAGTGATATGTAGAGGAGGACAGCTGGGCACTGAGCCTGCACAGTGATATGTAGAGGATAGCTGGGCACTGAGCCCGCACAGTGATATATAGAGGAGGACGGCTGGGCACTGAGCCCGCACAGTGATATATAGAGGAGGACGGCTGGGCACTGAGCCCGCACAGTGATATATAGAGGAGGACGGCTGGGCACTGAGCCCGCACAGTGATATATAGAGGAGGACGGCTGGGCACTGAGCCCGCGCAGTGATATGTAGAGGAGGATGGCTGTGGGCACTGAGCCCGCACAGTGATATGTAGATAAAGACGCCTGGGCACTGAGCCCGCACAGTGATACGTAGAGGAGGACAGCTGGGCACTGAGCCCGCACAGTGATATGTAGAGGAGGACGGCTGGGCACTGAGCCCGCACAGTGATATATAGAGGAGGACGGCTGGGCACTGGGCCCGCACAGTGATATGTAGAGGACGGCTGGGCACTGAGCCCGCACAGTGATATGTAGAGGACGGCTGGGCACTGAGCCCGCACAGTGATATGTAGAGGACGGCTGGGCACTGAGCCCGCACAGTGATATGTAGAGGACGGCTGGGCACTGAGCCCGCACAGTGATATGTAGAGGAGGACAGCTGGGCACTGAGCCCGCACAGTGATATGTAGAGGAGGACAGCTGGGCACTGAGCCCGCACAGTGATATGTAGAGGAGGACGGCTGGGCACTGAGCCCGCACAGTGATATGTAGAGGAGGACAGCTGGGCACTGAGCCCGCACAGTGATATGTAGAGGATAGCTGGGCACTGAGCCCGCACAGTGATATATAGAGGAGGACGGCTGGGCACTGAGCCCGCACAGTGATATGTAGAGGAGGACGGCTGGGCACTGAGCCCGCACAGTGATATGTAGAGGACAGCTGGGCACTGAGCCCGCACAGTGATATGTAGAGGAGGACAGCTGGGCACTGAGCCTGCACAGTGATATGTAGAGGATAGCTGGGCACTGAGCCCGCATAGTGATATATAGAGGAGGACGGCTGGGCACTGAGCCCGCCCAGTGATATGTAGAGGAGGACGGCTGGGCACTCAGCCCGCACAGTGATATATAGAGGAGGACGGCTGGGCACTGAGCCCGCGCAGTGATATATAGAGGAGGACGGCTGGGCACTGAGCCCGCACAGTGATATGTAGAGGAGGATGGCTGTGGGCACTGAGCCCGCACAGTGATATGTAGATAAAGACGCCTGGGCACTGAGCCCGCACAGTGATACGTAGAGGAGGACAGCTGGGCACTGAGCCCGCACAGTGATATGTAGAGGAGGACTGCTGGGCACTGAGCCCGCACAGTGATATATAGAGGACGGCTGGGCACTGAGCCCGCACAGTGATATATAGAGGAGGACGGCTGGGCACTGAGCCTGCACAGTGATATGTAGAGGACGGCTGGGCACTGAGCCCGCACAGTGATATATAGAGGAGGACGGCTGGGCACTGAGCCCGCACAGTGATATATAGAGGAGGACGGCTGGGCACTGAGCCCGCACAGTGATATGTAGAGGACGGCTGGGCACTGAGCCCGCACAGTGATATGTAGAGGACGGCTGGACACTGAGCCCGCACAGTGATATATAGAGGAGGACGGCTGGGCACTGAGCCCGCATAGTGATATATAGAGGAGGACGGCTGGGCACTGAGCCCGCATAGTGATATATAGAGGAGGACGGCTGGGCACTGAGCCCGCCCAGTGATATGTAGAGGAGGACGGCTGGGCACTGAGCCCGCACAGTGATATATAGAGGAGGACGGCTGGGCACTGAGCCCGCGCAGTGATATATAGAGGAGGACGGCTGGGCACTGAGCCCGCACAGTGATATGTAGAGGAGGATGGCTGTGGGCACTGAGCCCGCATAGTGATATGTAGATAAAGACGCCTGGGCACTGAGCCCGCACAGTGATACGTAGAGGAGGACGGCTGGGCACTGAGCCCGCACAGTGATATGTAGAGGAGGACGGCTGGGCACTGAGCCCGCACAGTGATATATAGAGGAGGACGGCTGGGCACTGAGCCTGCACAGTGATATGTAGAGGACGGCTGGGCACTGAGCCCGCACAGTGATACGTAGAGGAGGACAGCTGGGCACTGAGCCCGCACAGTGATATGTAGAGGAGGACTGCTGGGCACTGAGCCCGCACAGTGATATATAGAGGACGGCTGGGCACTGAGCCCGCACAGTGATATATAGAGGAGGACGGCTGGGCACTGAGCCTGCACAGTGATATGTAGAGGACGGCTGGGCACTGAGCCCGCACAGTGATATATAGAGGAGGACGGCTGGGCACTGAGCCCGCACAGTGATATATAGAGGAGGACGGCTGGGCACTGAGCCCGCACAGTGATATGTAGAGGACGGCTGGGCACTGAGCCCGCACAGTGATATGTAGAGGACGGCTGGGCACTGAGCCCGCACAGTGATATATAGAGGAGGACGGCTGGGCACTGAGCCCGCACAGTGATATATAGAGGAGGACGGCTGGGCACTGAGCCTGCACAGTGATATGTAGAGGACGGCTGTGCACTGAGCCCGCACAGTGATATGTAGAGGAGGACAGCTGGGCACTGAGCCCGCACAGTGATATGTAGAGGAGGACAGCTGGGCACTGAGCCCGCACAGTGATATGTAGAGGAGGACGGCTGGGCACTGAGCCCGCACAGTGATATGTAGAGGAGGACAGCTTGGCACTGAGCCCGCACAATGCTAGGTGGAGGAGGACAGCTGGGCACTAAGCCCACACAATGCTAGGTGGAGGAGGACAGCTGGGCACACCTCATACCACCACCCCCCCCTCCCCTTGGCCTACAGCAATTGTTGGCTCTCCAGTTACTTAACACCCAAGCTTACTATCACTTCCTTGGCTGCTGCCTGGGCAATAATAGAGCACAGGAGAGAAGAAGTGCGCTGTGCATAGCCGTCCTTGCAGCCACCCAGTACACACTTATTATAAATGCTGCTCTTCCAGTAAACTACATCTACATAGAACGGCACACTACAGTCCAGCCTACCTTCATCCCTTGGCACTCACTGCTAATGGTTATCTATACAGCATCTAGCCACGTGTGGGTACCCCGCACAACTAGGCAAGACCCTCGCTGCGTGACATCAGATTGTTGGGGCTGCTATCCTCCATTCTGCCACCAATTACAGCTGTCAGCTTCCACAGCCCGCTTGTGTTGTTTGGTGAGGTGAAGGATTTGGAAAAGTGGATCCCAAATGGTCAGCCCGTTAAAGCCATGGAAGGCGGCACAAGGGGGAAGGATGTCCCCTTCTTTTGCTTGTAAAAGCAGTCCAGTGGCTAGTTAGCCGCTCGAATTGCTTTTACAAGAGAGCCGAATGCAGGCTCTAAACCCTGCTGCTTTCCTGCAGCTGGGCTAAATATAAAAAAACTTCTTGCCCGGTGCCTGAAACTGCATATCCCGAGCGTTGGGCGATAGGATTTGAACATCCCTGAGTTGAATGACATATTCAGTGAAGGTAGGAAATCAGCAACATGTAAAGAGGTTTTGCCTGGAGTTCTGCTTAAGCCTGGGTTCATACTTGTGCGATGCGCTATATCGCATGTGATTCGCACAGGAACCGCACCGCATTCTGTGTAAATCACATGCAAATTCTGTGCGGTGCAAATTGAGCCATACATTTTGTATGGCTCAAATCGCACCGCATCTGCACCAAAAAGGTGCAGGACCCTTTTTTTGGTCCGCACTAGAATCGGATTGCATCGTTATTCACACTCATGCGATTCAATTCTGCACATCACACCGCGTTTTGTGGACCAATTTCGGGGTGTTGTCAACTTAACATACACACCCGCAGTGGTTCACATGAACGGGGTGCGATTGTGATTGCGGAATTTGCACTGTAACCACTGCAAATTCCACACTGCATCAGTGTGAACCCAAGCTTAAGGAACATTGTACAAGAAAATTGTATACTGTATGGCCAGCCTTACACTGTCCTATCTTCCCCCTGTTCTCATCTTAACATTTCTTTTCTCATTCCCAGGTTTCCGCAATGAAGCTGACTCCTTGCTCACCGTCACTTCAAATACATCCTATAACAGCCTGCGTGATCCCACAGAGGCTCGCCGCCTGCTCAATCTGCTAGCTCAAGAGACCAGTATATTTGAACAGCACACTATCCCTCCTGAGAGGTACCTCTTCGTCTTGGTATGTACCACTAACACCTCCACACCTCTATACTTACAGAGCTTCCTAAACCAGCCATCGCAGTGAGAGCAGCCCTGCATGTACCCATTGTTCATACGCCTAAGAAAGCCACAAAATTCTTATTCATTTCAAATTGCCAGGACCTGGTGACACTATTGTAGTATGATTTATCAGGTCTCTATGATCTAGTCACATGATCTGCTGAATCATGGATTCACCCACAAAATCATGGCTTTCCTGTAGTATGATTGAGATTTATAACAGAGCCAGTAAGCAAAACTATGTACACGTGAGTTAGTGTACAATACAGTATATAAAGTAGTAATATAAATTACAGATTTGCTTGTATAAATAAGCAATAAATGTAGTCAACCCAAAACTGAGCTTTTCATTTTTTGAAACATGTTAGAGCAGTGGTGGTCAACTTACTTGATATAGGGGGCCCTACTTGTAGCCCCTAATATCAGAAAATGGCTCATATTGTTGAGTGTATGTAATGCTATATAGTGGTCAGAGTCAGTAGACATACTGAGGTAGATTCTATATGGGATAAATTACATAGGCCTTGGATCAAACTGCCTTCAACACATAAGTTGTGGTTTACAAAAATAAAATGCACTGTATTACCAAAAGTATTGTGCCAGCACAGATACTGGAGCGTGAACACATTGTTCCCAGAGATTCTGCCCTTATCTCATTCAGGATCAGGTAGAACTGAACTGGACATTCGTCCCTCAGCCAGAAAAAATAATACACTATATTGCCAAAGGTATTGGGCCAGTCCTCCAAATCATTGGATTCAGGTGCTCCAATCACCTCCATGGCCACAGGTGTATAAAATCAAGTACCTAGGCATGCAGACTGCTTCTACAAACATTTGTGAAAAAATGGGTCGCTCTCAGGAGCTTTATGAATTCAAGCGTGGTACCGTGATAGGTTGTCACCTGTGCAATAAGTCCATCCATGAAATTGCTTGCTACTAAACATTCCACGATCAACTGTTAGTGGTATTATAACAAAGTGGAAGCAACTGGGAACAGCAGCAACTCTGCCACGAAGTGGTAGGCCACGGAAAATGACAGAGTGGGCTCAGCATGAAGCACAGTGCACAGAAGTCACCAACTGTCTGCGGAGTCAATAGCTAAAGACCTCCAAACCTTTTGTGTGGCCTTCAGATTAGCACAACAACAGTGCATAGAGAGCTTCATGGAATGGATTTCCATGGCCGAGCAGCTGCATCCAAGCCTTATATCACCAAGTGCAATGCAGAGCGTTGGATGCAGTGGTGTAAACACGCCACCACTGGACTCTAGAGCAGTAGAGATGTGTTCTCTGAAGTGACGAATCAGGCTTCTCTGTCTGGCAATCCGATGGACGTGTCTGGGTTTTGCAGTTGCTAGGAGAACGGTACTTGCCTGACTGCATTGTGTAAAGTTTAGTGGAGGGGGATTATGGGTTGGAGTTGTTTTTCAGGGGTTGGGCCAAGCCCAACCCCTGACAATTTTGGACAATTTCATGCTTCCAACTTTGTGGGAACAGTTTGGGGATGGCCCCTTCCTGTTCCAACATCACTGCGCACCAGTGTACAAAGCAAGGTTCATAAAGACATGGATGAGCGAGACTGGCCTACACAGAGTCCTAGCCCCAACCTGATAGAACAGCTCTGGGATGAATTAGAGCGGAGACTGCGAGCCAGGCCTTCTTGTCCAACATCAGTGCCTGACCTCACAAATGTGCTTCTGGAAGAATGGTCAAACATTCCCATAGACACACTCCTAAACCTTGTGGACAGCCTTCCCTGGAGAGTTGAAGCTGTTATAGCTGCAAAGGGTGGGTCAACTCAATACTGAACCCTACGGACTAAGACTAAGATGCCTTTAAAGTCCATGTGTGTGTAAAGGCAGGCGTCCTGATACTTTTGCCAATATAGTATACATAAGAGCGCATTGAAAGCTGTTTGGACTCTTGTACGTCAAATTGGTGCAAGGCTACTGTTTGGAGGGGGTCCCAATTCAGCATCAACATATGATTGAACATACAGTATATTAATCATCACACAGTAAAGTACCAGCTGAAGATGATTGCTAGCAAGCTGATATTGCACTTACAGATGGAAACATCATGAAGTTAGATCAGGTGAACAACCTAAAAATAGCTCTTGAACATGAAGAAAACATACACTCACTGACCACTTTATTAGGTACACCTTGCTAGTGCCAAGAAAATCTCCCCCACACCACCACCAGCCTGAACCATTGATACAAGACAGGATAGATCCATGCTTTCATGTTGTTTACACCAAATTCTGACCCTACCAGCTGAATGTCAAAGCAATAAGTCTGCCCATTCTCCTCTGACATCAACAAGGCATTTTCGTCCATACAACTGCCACTCACTGGATGTTTTCTCTTTTTCGAACCATTCTCCGTAAACCCTCGAGATGATTGTGCGTGAAAATCCCAGTAGATCAGCAGTTTTTGATATACACAGATTAGCCCGTCTGGCACCAACAACCATGCCATGTTAAAAGTCACTTAAATCCACTTTCTTCCCCATTCTGATGTTCAGTTTGAACTTCAGCAAGTCTTCACCACGTCTAGATACCTAAATGCATTGAGTTTCTGCCATGTGATTGGCTGATTAGCAGTTTGTGTTACCAAGCAATTGAACAGGTGTACCTAATAAAGTGGCTGGTGAGTGTATGTGCAAAATCAGAATGTCTCCAGTTCTATTAGCAAGCATAAGTTTCCATAGACAGAGCTAGCATGCACTGCTATGGTATATGATAGGGCTCTCACGTAGAGCAATCCAGCATTCGCTATCCAATGTAATGCTGTTACTTAACTTGCACTGACAGATTTTGCATGAAGCAGCAAAGCAAATAACATGCTTAGTCTGTATAGCAAGCAACATTAATAATGGATTCGCGTTTGGCCTTATGAACAGGCATAATTATGCAAAAGATCAACTAGCATGCGCAGGGGCGGACTGACCATTTGGAAACTCGGGTACTGCCTGAGGGCCCAGGGTCAGTAGGGGGCCCCATGAGATGCCCCTGGTACCTTTTTCATAGGCTTTTTTGAGTTTGGGCAAGGACACAGGGGCCCCATGATCCCCTATTGCCTGGGGCCCCATGAGTTGTCAGTCCGCCCCTGAGCATGCACTACCATTTACTGAGCGTGGCAACATTGAGCATCAAAAGCTTGATGGAAAACAGATGAATAAAGTAATGATCAGAGCATGAAGCATCAAAGGAAGTCCAGAAACCTCTATGGAAAAAGCTCATCAAGAAAGTGAATATAGTTTCTGTGTCCGTGCATCCACTGCATGTGCATGATTAAAAAATTAGTTTCATTTCTGATTCCCTTGTTAAGTCAATAATTTCATTTCGTCATGTTCATTATGTTAGAATGATTTGTTTTCGGATTTGTTTTGTACTGTATATTCATTGTTCTTAAGCAGTTTGTATTTTAGAAGTTATTTCAGAAAATTCAGATTCATTGGTTACTTTGTTATGTTATTTCTGTGACTTGCTTGTGATTTTCGATGCGACTTGCTTGGCACTTTGATGCTATGCAGAGCAAAACAAACCCGCATACTGGTGCTGACAGGGGAGAGATCTGTATTGTTTACATACAGACCTCTCCCATTCAGTGTTCCTCGGTGATCGCCGGGTGCCAGCAGGGAATCTCTGTCCAGGACGTGGTGATCGACATCTGTAGCCGCCAATGGCAGCACGGGTAGGGGGCGCGTTTATATACGTGATTTTGCGCAGCCCTGCTGCCCTGTAGCAGTAGTTCTGCTATAGGGCGGTTGGTAGGCGGTTAATAATGAAATAAACTCTTCTAAAAAATGCATCACTTGACCAAGGTATTAATCGTATCTCTGTACTGTTTTACTTACTGATAAATCAATAAAAAATTATTGCTTAAAAAATGCAGCATACAAAAAATTTTGAAAATGAAAAAATTTTAATTGACTAATAAAAATAAGATAAAACTTAAAATAAAATAGGCTGAAAAATATTACCTAAAGGGAAGAAGAAGACCAGACCGATCCTACAAGGGGGCCTCACCATGCACAATTTTTATAAGTATTTCATTGCCATTTAACTTGTTGGCTTGAGTGGTTTGAGTAATCCCTCTGTCATGTTGGAGGCTGCCATTTTGAATTCCCTTGAGCCCATAAACACCTACTATTTCGGAGCCCCTTATCCACTGACCCCCCTTGTGCTAACTATCATCAAAGGTAGGTTGGTGGGCCGCAAGTGGGAGTCACAGGATCCTCTTACTCTTTCCCTTTTCGCCCCACTATAGAATAATCTTGCTCTAACCCACTTTTCGTGCTCACAAATCCCCATAATAAGACAAAATTTGTCCCAGAGCAATTCCCTTTACAAAATGCCTTTAATAAACTAACTCCTTGGTTTTCATGTCCTTCCCTTTTGTTATATTCTATGATATTTTTGCTGTTTGTTCATATTTCTTCTCAGCCTTTGGCTAAGATCAAGTGTAGCATTTGTTCTTATCAGTGTCCAGTAGGGTGCTCCACCATTATTCTTGCCTTCTGGCTACAATGGCTGGCTGTATAGTATCCCTGCTGGTATGAAGGGGGATCCTGAGGGATCTTCCTATGGAAATAGAAACCTGTTTCTGGGCAGGGGAGGCTGGGAGTAATTCTCTGATGAAACATTCTGGGGGGTCCAACGCCTCCTGATTTGAGCAATGCTTCCTGGTCAGGAAAAGCAGAGAGCACCCCTTGGAAGTGGCATCCCGGGGGTGCCCAGAGTAACACTATGGGTTTGGGACCCCACTGTGTGAAAAGCCATAAAAAAGAAACAAATGCAACCTGCCCATCTAAGCATTTTTGGGCTGCAATACAATTATTATTATTTGTTTTGGGAGGGATTAAATACGTACAGTAACTCACTACAGCCAATCAGAGTTTACAACATTCCAGAAGTCAGACCACTTTTAGAGCTTGTCTAGATTGCCAAATGCAGTATCTGTTCAGGTGCATTCAGCCTGCATTTGGAGGCAGTTTGAGATTCTTTTGGGATCCTTTTAAATTTTTTTTTACAGATGCCTCTGATCTTCTTCTGACTTGCTTTTGAACTCTGTTCAAGCTGCATCTAATTTCTTAAAACTTCTTTTTCATTCTCGTTGACTGGAATAAGAGGAAAATCAACTCTTTGTAAATTAAAGTTCATGTACACTGGCCCTAAAATGGGTTCTGATTGGTTACTGTGGGTTACTGGACTCCCTGCCTACCAGTTTTTTTTTTTTCCTACATGTTCACTGAGCTGTGCATGCACAACCAATTGTACAGTATCAGTACACTTTTGTGCCCGGGCGAAGTAACTCCTGTGCATGTGCCCAGGTTACGTCAACCCAGCCATTCAAGAAAACTCTTCCATAAATTGATGGAAAAACCTTCTTTCTTCCATGTACGGCGCATGCAATATGAACATTTTGGGATCCAAAAAATAATGTATGTGCCCAGCCTTCCCTACACCATTCTATTTTCCTCTTTTTGCTTTCTACTAATTTGAATTTACATGATTAGGAGCAGAGTATGCAGCAATAAATATAGAACTGTAAATCAGTTGCTCTTCATGTGGATTTACATTCATAGAGAGCACAGAAGTTCCATTCATGGTCCCTGCCCCAGTCCCCAAGCTACAGTTCTCTAAAATGTGTAATTCCCTGCAGATAATGACAGAACAGGCACTGTTTATAGGTGATAACTGGCAAAGCTGGAGTATTAATATTATTATTATACAGGATTTATATAGTGCCAATAGTTTGCTCAGCGCTTTACAATATAACGGGAGACAATACAGCAACAATACAGTTCAATACAAGAGGGTTAGGAGGGCCTGATCCTTGGAGCTTACAATCTAAGGAGTATTTCATTAAACATAACTGTCCATCAGGACTTTTTTCTCAAAGAATAGTTCCAGGTACTCCCCCTTCCAAGTCACCCCTTGTCTCCGCCCACTACCTACCTCTGAGCACTGTCCCTTGTTTCACCCCCAACTGACCTCACAGTACTGCCCTTTTAGAGAATACAGAACCACATACAGTATAATTTTTTGGTGCTAATTAATTTGTATGGAATGCAATAACAAGAAAATCAGTAAAATAGATCACCTGCAACCAGTAACAATAGATCCCCCCAGTAAAATTACCCCCCCCCCCCCCCAAAAAAAAAAAAAAAAACGATCCAGCCAACACCAATGGATCCCTGCCAGAAACAATAGATCTCCCAGTAGTCAGCATCTGTAGAATCCTTCCTCAACAGTAGATTCACTACCCCATAGCAACAATAGATCCCCCACCAGCAAAAATAGACCTTGATCAACAATATATCCCCCCAGTGACAAAAAATCCCCTAGCAGCCAGCATCAATAGACCCTCCAGCACACCCCAGTACCCCAACCTTTACATACACACAGTGCTGGAGATGCTGGGACTGTGTTCCCACTGAAAAAAAGCCCTGCTGTCCATAACATCAGTAGAGCGTAAAAAGCCTTTCTGATCTGTTGATGTAGGAGATAAAAAAAAAAAACCTGCAATAAATTTGATAATATTATGTGATTTTGTGTTTAAAATATTTGGACTGTGTGTGTTTCAGGACCGCCTCATCGTTCTCGATATGGGAACAGAATTTGTGTCCATTGCCAGACGGTTTTATCCACCAGAGCCCTTAACAAGCAATGAGAAGGAAATTGCGGAGCCAGGTACGGCAGTCTTAGTGAGTCCTGGCTGGCAGGAGACCGAAGATGGTGGGAATAAAGATGAAGAATGTGCTGAAGTGGATGAAGATAGCTTCCTAGTCAACCTGCTTGAGTGACGGGAAAGAGAACCTATGCATATTGAATAAACCTGTCAGAATAATGCTTTTTAAATAAGTAGCATATTCCATTTTGCATGCCACATGTTCTGGTTTATCAGCATAGTTTTTTGTATCAGTGGCCCAAAACAAAGATGTTCCCCCACTTGGCCTGGTTACAGGCAACAGGAAACTCTTATATTCTCTACTGTTCTTAAAGAGACCTTGTTAGCAACTTTCAAAAATTGCAGATAAAAGCACAGAAAAATCTTTGCATGCTTACTTGAAGTGGTTTTCCTTTCTTTAAATTATTCTCTTGCAATGTGTCTTTGAATTTCCTAGAAAATTTGACTATTCAATTCCCTAGCACAGCCCCCTCCTCCTTACATGTCACTGCCTTCTCTTTTTTTTTCTAGGAGTGGCTGATAAAGTTGGCTATACACCAGTATTATTTTGTTCTAATAATTAGTGGGGTCAAATCAATGTTCATTTTCAATCAGTGGCAGGAAAATTTGGAGTAGGATTGAAATTTTTTCTTAAATGAACAAATTTCTAACAGTGTATGTGGTTTTTGTTCAGGAAATTAATTTTAGTCTAAAATAGAATGTTAAAAGCAAACCACATTGTAAAGGACTTTCAAATGACATTTGTATAGCCCAGGGGTAATGAATTAACATTCAAGGAGGTCCGGTTGCTAACATTTTTCTTCCAGCCAAGGTCCGAATCTTTTCAAGTAAAAGAAAGAACCACCTTACATAAGGTGTCCCCATAAGAGTGCCTGCATACATCAGGTATCACCATACATGAGGTTCCCCCATCAGTGTGCCCTCATATCATGTGTCCCCATCAGGGTCCCCCCATACATCACATAACCCCATCAGTGTTTCACTAAAGATTAGTAGAACTGGGGGGGGCGCGGAAGCTGGGAGGAGTGTGCTGTAGGGGGAGGGGCACACACATGAAATGATTGGTTTCTATGACGCCGGCAATCCTAACAACTAATGACTGCAGTTTAGTAAGGATCCAGCAGAGCAGAATGGTGGGCTGTTGCTCCAGACTGGACTTTCAGTAGGTCCAGATCCGGACCATGGTCTGCCATTTAGTGAAGGCTGGAATAGTCATTGAATGTACAAAGAATTGTCATTCAAATGTTTGTCTGAACATCTACTAGTGCATAGCCAGCTTAACTATCCATTCTGGCCATGGTCCTCTGTCCTTTTACTCACCTCCTCAAAGAGCAAAGGGGAGTACTATTGAGTGCCACTTGTGTGATCTGCCATTTAGTGAAGGCTGATATAGTCATTGAATGTACAAAGAATTGTCGTTCAAATGTTTGTCTGAACATCTACTAGTGCATAGCCAGCTTAACTATCCATTCTGGCCATGGTCCTCTGTCCTTTTACTCACCTCCTCAAAGAGCAAAGGGGAGTACTATTGAGTGCCACTTGTGTGATCTGCCATTTAGTGAAGGCTGATATAGTCATTGAATGTACAAAGAATTGTCGTTCAAATGTTTGTCTGAACATCTACTAGTGCATAGCCAGCTTAACTATCCATTCTGGCCATGGTCCTCTGTCCTTTTACTCACCTCCTCAAAGAGCAAAGGGGAGTACTATTGATTGAGTGCCACTTGTGTGACAGCTCTGAGTCTCCTAGGGCTGCTGATGTCACATCAAAGATGGTGGCTCTCAACAACAGCCTTTTTGATGTCAACACACTTGAAACATTCACAGGTATACAACATGCGTAGCATATGTTAAATGTGGGGTGAATTTTTACCCACTTTGTTCCACCCTTTTCTCCAATAAATATTATACTTCTGCTTTTATCCCTGTCAACATTCTTGCAAACCTGTAAAATCGCCTTCCTGTACTGGGTTGGCCATATCAACACAGTGAAAATTACCCTCCTACTCAAAATCCTATAACTTGCATGGATCCCACCCAGGGGCGGACTGACCATTTGGAAACTCGGGCACTGCCCGAGGGTGGGGGGTCAGTAGGGGGCCCCATGAGATGCCCCTGGTACCTTTTTCATAGGCTTTTTTGAGTTTGGGCAAGGACACAGGGGCCCCATGATCCCCTATTGCCCGGGGGCCCCATAAGTTGTCAGTCCGCCCCTGATCCCACCCCATTACACATGCTTGCTTCATCGACAAATGTTTCCTGTTATTTAGGCACAGAAATCACCCAGAATTTTCCACTCCACATTATATACAGTTGCAAGAAAAAGTATGTGAACCCCTTGGGATTACGTGGAGTTTTGCATAAATTGGGCATAAAATGTGCTCTGAACGTCATCTAAGTCACAACAATAGGAGAACACAGTCTGCTGAACATAATACTACACAAATATTAGATGTTGCCATGGTTTAATTGCACATAACAAATAAACATTCACAGTGCAGGGAGGAAAAAGTATGTGAACCTTTGGACTTAATAACTGGTTGACCCTCCTTTGGCAGCAATAACCTCAACCAAACATTTCCTGTAGTTGCAGATCAGACCTGCACAACGATCTGGAGTAATTTTGGACCACTCCTCTTCACAAAACTGTTTCAGTGTAGCAATATTCTTGGGATGTCTGGTGTGAATCGCTCTCTTAAGGTCATGCCACAGCATTTCAATCGGGTTGAGGTCAGGACTCTGACTGGGCCACTCCAGAAGGCGTATTCTGTGCTGTTGCAGCCATTGTTTTGTTGAATTACTTGTATGCTTTGGGTCATTGTCCTGTTGCATCACCCATCCTCTGCGGAGCTTCAGTTGGCGGACAGATGGTCGTACGTTTTCCTGCAAAATGTCTTGATAAACTCTGGAATTCATTTTCCCATCAATGACAACAATCCGTCCAGGCCCTGAGGCAGCAAAGCAGCCCCAAACCATGATGCTCCCTCCGCCATGTTTTATAGTGGGGATGAGGTTTTGATGTTGGTGTGCTGTGCCTTTTTTTCTCCACACATAGTGTTGTGTGTTCTTCTCAAACAACTCAATCTTGGTTTCATCTGTCCACAGTATATTTTGCCAGTAGTGCTGTGGAACATCCAGGTGCTCTTTTGCAAACTTCAAGCATGCTGCAATATTCTTTTTGGACAGCAATGGCTTCCTCCGTGGTGTCCTCCCATGTACTCCATTCTTGTTTAATGTTTTCCTTATTGTAGATGTGTCAACAAAAATGTTAGCATGTGCCAGAGATTTCTGTAGGTCTTTAGCTGACACTCTGGGATTCTACTTTACCTCATGCAGCATTCTGCTCTGTGCTCTTGCAGTCATTTTTACAGGACGACCACGCCTAGGGAGAGTAGCAACAGTGCTAAACTTTCTCCATTTGTAGACAGTCTGTCTTACCGTGGACACATGAACATCAAGGCTCAAGGAGATACTTTTGTAACCCTTTCCAGCTTCATGCAAGTCAACAATTCTTGATTGTAGGTCTTCTGAGAGCTCTTTTCTGCGAGGCATGGTTCACATCAGACAGTGCTTCTTGAAACCAGTAAACCCAAAACAGGTGTGTGTTTTTTAAGGGCAGGACAGCTGTCAGCAACACATCCAATATCATCACACTGATTGGAGTCAAGGTTGGCTCACTCCTGGCTCCAATTAGCTCTGGGAGAAGTCATTAAGCTAGGGCTTCACATACTTTTTCCTCCCTGCACTGTGAATGTTTACATGTTATGTGCAATTAAACCATGGCAACATCTAATCTTTGTGTAGTATTATGTTCAGCAGCCTGTGTTCTTCTATTGTTGTGACTTAGATGACGTTCAGAGCACATTTTATGCCCAATTCATGCAAAACTCCACGTAATCCCAAGGGGTTCACATACTTTTTCTTGCAACTGTACATATAAATTGCAAGGAGCCCTAAGTGTCCCTAATGAAATATTGTGGAGTGCCTTAGATTTCCTAGCTTTCATTACTGCACACCATTAAGAGCACTCCTCTTTAGGTCTTTTTGGAACTCCTGGATTGTGATGAATTTCCAATCAAAGTTTAACACAGTCCCACAATCTGTGTGGCCACCCTTTCCTGGCCCCTTGATGCCCCATAGCGTGAAATAATGGGATTCCGCCTGATACTGACTCAGTGCCCTACCTTTTACCCTTACTGATGATAACAAATACCCCCTTTTCCCCTCTGGAATAGAAGGCTCTAGGTCCTTTGATTGGTAGACTTGTCATTGCTTAAACCATGTTCATCATTTTCTAACCTTGCATCACTTTCCAGCCAGACTTGTGGAAGCATCATACAGCCCCCCAGTTAGAATACTTTAGATATCTCCATATTAGACATTGGGTCATTTTCTTACTAGAACTCAGATTTTCTCTACATTAAATTGGTCTTTGAACATGCATACCTTTATACGCCAGGGTCGCATAGACTTATTTCTACCTTGTACACAGCTATGAGTTCCCGCTTTCCCCATCTTCCCCTCTCATTTGTTGGGAAATGGGAGCAAGATGTTATGCACTCAATACCCCCTGAGGACTGGAGCAAAGCCTGTTCCAGGATAGCCAAATGTTCCTTTAACACATCTATATTGGAATGAGCCTAGGTCCTTTTAACCTTTTTGGTGGTACTGGACGCCTATGCAGATTGCATCAGCCCCATCTTAGGGTTCATATCAAGTGGTCCTATTCAAAGTTAGTGTCATTTTGATCCAGAATGTTTTACCTTATTCAAATCCTGTTTCAGATTATTATCCCAAAAGATTCTGGAATAGCCCTTTTACACCATTCAATTCCAGGTCTCACAAATCCCCTACAAATACGTTTCTGTTTATGGTGGCCAAACAAGCTGTTGCCAAAGCCTGGAAGAAATCTAGAGTTGATCTGCTAGAATTTAAAACACATTAATATTCTGATTGTTAATGAGGACTCCTAGCATTCTCCATGACTCGCAACCAAATCCTGGAAACCCTGGCTTGGATATACCTTCCCTTCCTTAAATTCTTCTTACCTCAGTTACCCATGATACTTGGCTTCCTGTTGACCATTGTGTTCAGTTCCTCCACTTGGGCAACCTT